AAATAAATAGACTATGAACAGAGCTAAGTTCTGTAGAAAAGAATAAAGCAGAGAAGAGAAATATGAGGAATTCTCTATTATGAATAGATCTGAGATAATTTCTCCTAGCTATATTTAGAGTTTTTATTTCTCATGGAACTTTTAGGGGGGCAAACTTGACATTTGACTATTAAGTCTCCATGACAAGATATAAAAAATTCCCACATAGGATATTTTCTTCCTCTGAACCACTCTGTTCTAAATGAAATTAAATAACAAAATTAAATGTAGTTCTTCAATATTATTTTGTTTAATATTTTGAATGCTAGTATACAAAATAATTCTATAAGGATTTGCATTATCATGTAATCTCAGCCCTGTGACTCTGCCTTACATTATTATTTAAAGTTTTATAACTATTTGGTGTTAGAAAGATGATGTAATATTTTTCATAAAGTTATCTTCCAAACACACACGCTTAGTATTTCTTTTTACTGATGATTTAAGCTTTTATCTAGTGAGTAATTCTTGATATTCTTGTCCATAAAATTAACAGCATCCATAATTATCATAGCATTTTCCCCTTGCAATATTAAATGTTCAGGGGCTGGGGATTTTTAGCTCAGCGGCACAGCGCCTGCCTGGCAAGCCAAGGTCGTGAGTTCAAGTCCCAGTACCAGAAAAAAAAAAACCAAAAGAAAAAAAAATTAAATGTGCACTGTACATCACCTGATAAAATTTCAACCTATAAAACACATCTGGAAATTTTCACTCTTTCCTCCTAAACTGCTTATCAGAATTTTCTGAGCTTTTTATTTGCATTTATTCTTCACTTAACTTTTCAATTACTATAATTGAATATTAAAACAGTAGCCAGTGGGGAGCATATTTATGTTTGTAGTCCTCCACTACTGCATATAAAGTGCCCCCAGTAAGTGCTAATCACCAGCCCCATTAAGAGGCCTGACACTGAACACCGTGTCTGGGCTGATGTTCCTCATCCTCACAGGCTTCTCCATCATAAAGGCACCATCTTTCCTCATTGGGATTGAAGTCCACCATCTCTGCCAGATCCATTTCATCAGTCTCGTCCCCTTCCTTCCTCTCAGGTAGGAGTTTCTCTGGCAAAGAGAGCTTAAGCAGGAGAGATAAAGCCATCTTCAGGAAAGTTTACCTTACATTTGATGATTAGACCACTCTTAGCCACTCTTAGCCATATGGCCTATGATAAATGGCTGTGACTTCATTTAGTACGCTCTTGTCGCCATGCTTGACACCTGGCCTGGATGAGAGGGGATGACTACAGTTTGGTTGTAAGAGTAGACACTGACTTTTGGATGCTACACAGTGCTTCAAGCAGCTATATGTCCACACACATGTCCAGACTCCTCTTGGAGTAAAAACAGCATGGTCCCTCTGATCTAACACAATGACAATATCACCTGGCTCCAATTCTGGTTCTTAGTCTCCTCCACTGTGGAATGTTACCTCCTGGTTCCCTTTCATGCCTCTGTCAGTGTGAGCTTCTAGAATCTTCTTCTCTCAGACTATCTTTCTTTGCAGATTTTACATCAGTCCTTAGGACCGATGCATTTCCCTTAGCCCTGGTACTCTGGTCACAGATATTTGCTGCAAAATTCCTGTTCCTATCTGATGAATTCTTACATGAATCCCAACAGTTGGCACAGCACCTTTCTTACCACCTTGGACTTCATATCTGGCACAAGTCACATTCTTTTGCAGAGGCAGCTTTCTTGTTCTTCCAGTGTATTAGCCTTTTTAGGTTACCAGGAGCAACATGCATAGCATTTTTACCTCTCCTTTCGCTCTACACCCATCCTCCTCCAAAAACACATCAAAGACATCCATGGGAGAACCACAGCTGCCAGTTGCTCTGCCCTCCTTAATTATCTGCTCTCCCCTTTTGTACTATAAGTCCCATCTTTGGCATCAGCAAGGACTTTGCAAGTTCAAGAAATATGTTCGAACTTCTTACCTTCATTTGGATTCTTATCAGGATAGCATCTCAAGGCCAGTTTCCTATAAAACTTCAATTCTTCTTGGGTGGCACTGGGTTTGACTCCCCAAAGCATCATAGTAGGTGTTTTTTTTTGGGTTTTCTTCCAGTACCAGGAATCGAACTCACGACCTCACGCTTGCCAGGCAGGCGCTGTGCCACTGGACTAAATCCCCAGCCCCAGTAAGTGTTTTCTTTCATGGTTTTCTATAGCTTGTGAGTAGGCTAAGGCTGGTGTGGGGGAGCAGGAAGGAGCATGTCTGCTGCTCCTCCACCTGCCATGGAGTATTCTGGAATGTTCCTCAGAATTTAACTACCTGTTAATCTATAAACAATATGTCCTGATTATGCTACCTGTTTGGATTACTCACATGGATACCCTGTTTACATATGGTGATGATATGCAGGATGACACAATCATCTGTTACACACATATTTGGAGACATTAAAAGTGACATTTCTTAGGATGTTTGTCAACTTCACCATTCAGCTTTTCAAAAGCTCAGTCCAAAACTCAAGAATTACAGCTGAGTTTGGCCAAATATTAGGAACAAGGGAAGATTCTTGTTTGTCCCTCCTGTCTCAAACTGAGTCAGTGCTTGGGAAGAGCATAACAGTGTCAGTCACTGGAGCGGCAGCTTTCCGGCTTCCTTCATGTCTGGTGACCAGAGTGCTGCCTTTGGCATCTGAGAAAAATCTGATCAAGGTTCATTTTGACAGGGGGAATTATAGGTTTCTACCAATATTTGCTTGCTCAATTTTTTCAAAATCTCAGTCTACCTTGGTCTGTAGTAGCAACACACAAATGAGGATCTCATGGCTTAATTGGGCCACATGGCTTCCATTAGGAAGATGAGAACCAAGCGAGATTTTAGAAAGTGGCTCTCAGGCTTCGTGCATATTTATCCTCATGGTACAACTGCAGCATCATTAGGTGTGACCACTGCAGAATCTGAAATTCAGATAATGACAACCATTTAGATTTTAATTCCAATACTCAGCTCGTAGGCAAATGAAAGTTAATGTTCTTCAAATTGAAATTTGAATATAAAACTGGATTCCCATTTGCTTTTTTGACACTATGTTTGTCACAGAAGAGAAGCAGATATTACATATCATCAGCACAAAGGATAAGAAAGGGGATAGAAACCAAATCTTATAAAAATTGTAAAAGCTGGAGTATTGGATGGATGTGAAGTGCGTTATTCAACACAGCAACGTTTTAGGACTCACCATCTTAATATTTGTGCTGTGTATTCTGAAGAATCTTATTGGAGTTACATCTTAGTTTTTCTTGTCTCTGTGACTACTTCCCAGCCTGAATGACTTGCCTCCTCTTTCACGCTACCAGTTTCTCCCAGATCACAAATCTCAGAGTGGGAAACTCTCCCTGGAACCCTAGGGTATAACTTAATGCCCTCTTTTAATCCCAAACAACAACAAACCACAGATATCTGTGCACATCTGTGGTGTGCCTTCCTGCACACAACACATAACTTGCTTGTTGGTTGCCCTTTCTCCTTCTGTTTTTTGAAATAAATTTTATTATGTATAGTCAAGGTTTACAGCATGATATACACAGAGGGTAAAATGGTTATTATGTGAAACAAGATAATATATTCATCATAGTTACTTTTATTTGTGATGAGTGGCTAAAATCTACTTTAAAACCCTCAATAGATTATAATTTTGGTACCTATGTATTTTACAATAGATCACTTAACTTGCTCATCCAACGTATCTGCTATTTTGCCTCCCTTGAGCTACATCTCCCCATTTCCTTCCTACCCGCAACCCTGTTCATGACAATTGCTGCTTCATTTTCTATCTGTAGGATCTTTTCTTTTCCCCAGACTCACTTCCACTTGTAAGTGAGATAATTCAATATTTGTCTTTCTGTGCCTGGCTTATTTCACTTCATATAATGTGCTCCAGGTCCATCCATGTGGCAAAGGGCAAACTTTCGTTCTTTGTGAAGGCTGAATAATAATTGCATTCCATTCATCTGTCAATGGACATTTAGTTTGTTTCCATATCTTCACTGTTGTGAGTCATGCTGCAGTGAATGGAGGATATCAAATGATATCATCTATATGAAGGGTGATTTCATCTCCCTAGTACACTCAGAAGAGGGATTGCTGTGTCAGTCGGCAGTTATGTTTAATTTCTTTAGGAATATCTCTCCTGTTTTCCATAATGGCTGTGCCGATCTAAGTCCCACCAGCAATATCCTGGGTTTCATTTTCTTCACACCCTCTCTAACAACCCCCCAAGTTTACCATCTTTACATGTATGAGGTGATATCCCCAGAGGGCAGTGACATGGTCTGTACTTGAAAAGCCAGCAGGAGATAAGTCTGCAAGGCAGCTTAGCACAGGGAGGAGACTCAGGAGAGGCTGGCATTTCAGACACAGAGGGAATTGGGGGTCGCGTTGCAGAGGTCATGGCGCCCATCTCTGTCAAGCACTCCTGAGAGGCCAGACTGAAAGCTGAGGCAGCCCACAAGATTGGACAGAGGGAAAGCAAGTGTCTTCCTTCCCGTCTGAGATCACACCACTCATTTCACTGTTTCTCCCAGAGGGATTTCTGAGGAGTTCTGTAATTCTGGCCCCAGTTTTGGAGAAGCAGACTCTTTTTCAGCCACTCCGTGCACTTCCAGGGTTAGTTCTTTAAGTCTTTTTTTGTTTGTTTGTTTTGGACCTGGATGTTGGGATCAATCAATAAATTGGCAACTATGATGATTATTTATGCCTTGAGACATATTTCAGCTGCACCTGAGAGCTGGTGTATTTTTTCTTAGACTGTTTTCTGTTAAGAAATATTCCAGTCATGCATTCTGATGGCTGGAAGAGTGAATTAATAGTAGTCTAATCACCGTGGAGACGCTGCTGCTTCTGTGAGCTGGCTCCAAGCGAAGGCTGCACGTCTCTGTGGGAACGAGAAGTGAATGAGTCTGCTGCTCACTTAACCTGCTGTTCTTTTCTTTCTCTGTTTTCTCTCCTAGGAAACAAATGGAAGACTGCTGCGACCCCGCCCATCTCTTTGCTATGACTAAAATGAATTCCCCCATGGGGAAGAGCATGTGGTATGATGGGGAGTTCTTATACTCCTTCACCATTGACAATTCAACGTATTCTCTCTTCCCTCAGGTTAGTATAGTTGTTGCATTTCAGTGAAGTTTCCTGTATTCCTTGATGTCCTAGGAAAGGGGTACTTGACTTTGCCTAACCCTTTGAACCTTTTTTTTTTTTTCAATCTTAATTTTAAGTGCTTTTCCTTACACATGTCATTTTCTGTTGTAGATCTCTCATACATTTTTTGTGCAAGGATGGAAGCAATCTATTATAGAAAAAAATAGGACTTTATAGCGTTACAGTTTTCCTGATGCTTTAGAGTCGAGTCACATGAAACTGAAGGAAGCAAGCAGAGAATGGTGAGGGAATTGTGAAAGTCTAGTGTTTTGAGGATGGCTGTGGAATGATCGTGATGATTTGTGGTACTGGGATATCTTCTTAGGACTGATCTGGGTTTCTGGGGATGGGGACCATATGGTGAGAATTTGTCTCTTAGAACTCTTGAATTTTAACCCTGTAGTTATCTGACTGCTAAGAAGTGGACGAGTGGTGGGTGTGGAAAGAGGGAATTCAATTCTGCCACTTTTGAAGTGAGCTCCATCAAGCTGTGTTTACTTAATGTTTTTCTTCTTCTTCTTTCCCAAGCACTGAAATAAAGTCTCACTAAAATATATTTTAGGTAACAAGCAGAGAAAAAAGTAAATCTTTATTCTAGAGAACCTTGTTGGGGAAGGAGGGCCTTCAGTGAAATTGTTTTTAGGGAGAAATTGAGATATGATTCTTGACCTTTACAGGCCTTCTAGCCACTCTTGTTTTGGCCAGAAAGCATTCATGGTTAGAGTTGGAAAGTGCAGTTGTGCCAGGCATGGTGGCACATGCCTGTAATCCCCACACTTGGGAGGCTGAAGCAGGAGGATCGCTGTGAGTTTGAGGCCATCCTGAACTACATAGTCATTTCAAGACAAGACTGAACTACATAACAAGACCTTGTCTCCAAAAAATGTGCAATTGACTTTTTGTACCTCTCTGCTAATAAACAGCCAGAATCCTTATTGGATCCTACAAATTTAAAGCACAAGTCCTACCAGATCCAAAGTCTCAGTCAGTATGAAATAGCCTATATTCAATAGCTCATCTTTAAGTGTGTTAGTCTAGTTGAATGGTTTCTGAATGTAGCAATGAGTTTTCAAAAAAACTTAAGGAAATAGTTCAATTAAATGCCAGCATTCATGTGTCTTCTCTCTCTACATTGTTCGCTTGCCCTTAGGAGGCTTCCTAGTGGCAAAGCAAATGACTAATAAGTCATATAATCTGAAATTGAATTTTGTCTCCATCCCTGACTAATGCTTTTGGATAAGTCACCTAATTGTCCTGAGACTCAGCCTTCCCATTTGTATTACGGATAGAGGAGCATCTGTCCTACAGAGTCACAGAGTGGTGGTGAAGATCAGTTTAGATAGTGCATGTCAATGGACATTCAAAGCGTTATATGAACATGGGTGTTAATGTTGTTTTGGTTCATATGGTACATTCTGAACCTGAAGATGGAGAAGTATAATTGTGTTAGAGTTTGGGCCAGGTACAGAAATCTCCCTAGATATTTCTGACAGAAAGATATCTCATACAGAGGATTGGGTACTGGAAGAAGCCACTGCAAGAATGGAGAAGTTGGAATCAAAGCAGATCCTAGGGTTGCTGAGTGCAGGAACTTACTGGCATAACAGAGGTCTAATGATGAGGTAGCCCCAACTGTCCTTGCTTTTGGCCTGGCTATCATAGCTTCCGACAAAAATGGGACAGAAGATGGGTTCTGATTTTCCTCCTTCTTCCAAGTCTCCTTTGAATGTCTCTAACAGGTAAAGATGAACTTATATCCAAAGCACTAGTTTTAGTGAAGTCCAGGAGAGGCAGTTTGTCACTTTCAAGCTTCAGCAGGAAGCTGGGAAGAGGGTGGGATAGAACTGGAGCAAGCCAGTCCTCAGGATGCTCTGTGTACAAAATCGATACCAACTCGCTGTAAAAGGAAGAAGAGATAAGGAAACAATCTTCTTTAACAGCAAGAAGACTGTTACGGGAAATGCAAAAAAGGCTTTTTATAGATGAGGGCTTTCAGTCAGACTCACTGACTTCTGACTTTATACTGAAGAACAGATTTGAAGAAAAGAGATGATCAAAGAATATAAAGTAGCCTCCTGTCTTATCTATCCACTGCAGCAGCAGGATGGTAGGAAACATTTCCTTTACAAAGTATGTGCAAATGAAGTCTGTGCCTCTTTGTGTCCATTGCAAGATGAAGGGCCCCTCCCTGAATAATAAAGGGAAAAAAATTCCCTTCAGAACCAAAAACCATTACGTCATTGTACATGTACAGACTCATTACAGAAAGCTAAAACAATTCAATGAAGGGATACATTTGAAGTTACGTAGGTATTTTTTGCTGAGATTCTGAAATGACTTGTTAATTTACAGAAATCCTGGGAAATCATTCAAATCACAAAAAGGATGGTGTATTTTTCTCTCCCCTTATTCATTATTATTTGTTAGCAAAATGTTTCTAGTTTGCTTTTAAGTAAACTGAATTGCCAGTTAGTGAGTATGCTTCATTCCTGTTCCCTGTGGGAAGAAAATAGCGTATGCAGATTAAGCAGAAATGTGGCCGAATGGGCTAGGTTCATTCAGTGTGGTCAGAGTGAGGAAGCAGCCTTCCATTCCCCGAGCTGCAGCAAAATAGTCACTCGTCCTGTCACTCAGACTGTATCTCTGTACCTTTATACTTTTCCCCTAAAAGCTTAATACGTTGTGATGGATTGGCAACCTGTAATGCCCAGCTGAACTGAGGAAGCGTGGTGCTGGGTGTGGGAGGCCCACCTGGGGATTGTTAACAGCAGCATAAGAGGCAGAAGTGGAGAAGAAGTTAGGCGGTTGGAAGCAGAGAAAGGTTGTTGGAGCTCGTGGAAGCTGTAAAGAGCTGTTGGTTCTTTTGGAGGAGCTCATCATACTAGCTTTCCTGATGAACTTAGCTGTTTACATCCTCGGAGAAGCTCGAGACCTTGTTGGCACTGGGAATGGCTTCCGTTCACTTTGGGGGAGCTCTGGTCCTCACCTTGAGCATTGCTTCCTGGCTCCAGAGGGGAAGATGGTGCACTGCTCAGTCTCCTGGAGAAGCTTGTCACGTTGGCTTTACTGATGGGAACTCGGCTGTGCTGGTCATCGAAGGAGCTCGGGACCTCACTATTGCTGAGGATGGCTGTGGTACTTTTCAGGGGACCTCTGGTTTTTATTTTGCATGTTGCTTCCTGGCTCCAGTACAGATCCCTCAACCTGCTAGCACAGATCCTTCATCCTTCTGTCACAGACTTTCTAGCTTTCACCACTGATCTTTGGGCCTTCCCAGCGAAGATTCGTAAAACAGGCCTGCATGAGACATTGTCATGGGCTCTAGGCCTCCAGTTGGACTCATGGGAGGCATTGTTATTAGCTCTAAGTCTTCAGCTGGACTCATGCAGGACATTATCATGGGATCCAGGCTTTCAGCTGGTCTTGTGGGATCCAGGCCCTCAGCTGATCAAGGTTCTTTGGTCTTTAGTGTGTGGACAGATTTCCTGCACTGTCTTGTATACAATTCTTTGGGTGACTGTTATAAATAATCTTATAAAATATGTATCTTACCTTATATTGTTCATCTTGCAAATAAGCCCCAAACCATAACATATGTGTCAGCCGTCATTATTCCTGTTATCCTTTCACCTACTTTTACTCAACAATTTTTGTTGTTGTTGCTGAGATGCAATGGAAGAGGGACAATGCTGTGTGTGCTCTAAAGTGCTGACAAGTTCTGTTCAGGGTGGCCGTCTGCAGGAGGGGATGCGGAGCCACCATGTGCTTTGAAGTTCCACATTGGAGCTCTGTGCCTGCAGCTAGCGAGTTGCTTCTTATTTGGATCCCCTGCAACTTCCGACAGCCTCATGATCGAATTTATTCAACTCTGCCGCATATTGTGCTTACCTACATAACTATGCCTTAACACACTGCAGTTTTCTGAAAGTCCTTCATGGCTGATCCTGCTGTCGTCTTGTGAGCCTTTGGGGAGCAAGAAGTTTTTCATTTTTGTGCTGGTGCAGTTGGTTCCCACTTAATAGAGGTGTTTTTTTTTTTGTCTATTATGTTCGTCAGGAGTTCCTTATATAAATATTGTAACTCTCACATAGAATTTATAAAGGAAAAGAGAGAGGAATTGGAGAGGACATGTGATGCTGTTTTTGCTTTTTAGAACCCCACACCCTTGGGGTTAGAATTTTCTTTTTCCTGCTTACAGGGACTATGCCTTTAAAGCTTACATGTTCCAGGGTTTCCAGGGATTACTGAGTAAAATCTAGTTTGGCCTAAAATGCATTGCTCAGGAAGAGCATGAATTTCTTTGCAAATGAGAAAAGGGAGTAGCTGGAATGTTAGAAACCACACCTGTGCTGATAAGGTCTGCAAAATACTCTTCTGGTGTAATGAAAACATAGTTGGCTCACCATTCTCTGTCGTTGTCCTAAACAGTCCCAAACCCATCTTGTGTCCTGGGTATTCACCCAAGGTCGTATGTGCAGAATCACAGAATGTCATGAATGCACCCAACCTGGTCACTCATTTCTATCTGCTTCGTGTGGCCACAGGGTCCCTGTTGTGTTCCGCTGGGCCTGGGTGTGCAGCATCCTTGGCCCAGGAGCAGGTCAGCAGGATATTTGGAAGTAGCTTGACAAAATGGCTTTGTAAAATGAAAATACACATTTTTCCCTCTTCATAGTAATATGCCTGTTAGAATTTTCTGAGCTCCTAGATAGTCCTGTGAGTCTCACAAAACTTATTTTCTGAGTGAAATTCGGATCATACCATGTAACAACAATGCTGTTGTAATCATTTTCCCAAGCAAATACCTTTCCAACTGGAAGGAGACTAGGGGAGTGATGCGTGTAGGCATGGATCTCTGCCAGCTCTGCCAGGCTTACGCCAGGTGATACTGTTAGGCTTGCTTCTGGCTGACTTCTATCAGCAAAATGACCACCTATTGAAACCAAAAGATGCTTATT